TAATCCAGTGCTGAATTACTACTCAGTAGTAAATACTCTCATGTTCTTTGCTGAGCCCAAAGTGGAAATGACCCAGCAAGAACAAAAACAGATTGCTCTGTCCATATTGCTTCCCAGCCTTGTACCCCCATTTTAATAAAACACTATTTAAAGGGGGTGTGAGCATGACTAGATCTCTGGCCCACAGGCAGGAAGCCGTAACCTGGCAGGCGCTATGGTCACACCCTTGGTAGAATGGCATTTCATGGCACTAAAGAAAGCTTCCATCCATATTTATTTTGTGTTCCAAGTTGCATGGCAAATAGAATGCAGTTTAATGGGAGGGATAGCTCAGTGGTTTGAGCATTGGGCCTGCTAAACCCAGGGTTGTGAGTTCAATCCTTGAGGGGGCCACTTAGGGATCTGGGGCAAAATCAGTACTTGGTCCTGCTAGTGAAGGCAGGGGGCTGGACTCGATGACCTTCAAGGTCCCTTCCAGTTCTAGGAGATAGGATATCTCAATTTAATGTATTTAAGACATAGGTCACTAAACTAAATCTGATGTGCTGGTGGTGGTAGCCCATCAGTCTAAGCAACAGTTATAGTAAATCTGTTTCCAGTCTCTCTTTAATTCTGATTTAACTTTCTGTGACACTTGTGTAAATAACCAAGTCTTAAAATGGTAATCTGCAGGCCAGGCTTCATTGACCCCACCCATATGGGAGCTATTCTGATGCTATTTCGCAGCAAGATGCCTGCCTTCAGCAGGCTAGGCTCGGCTCAAATGCCAGCTTTTAATGGAGAAACTTAACTTTCAGATCTTTCTGTTGCATCATGTTTGTGCCCCAAAGAACCATTCTGATCACTCTGTGGAGGTCAGTGGAGCAATCTTTGAAACTCAAAATGCTTTGTCTGTTGTTTACCCGCAGCAGTGCTGAGATGGGATGATTCCAGACAAGCTTTACGTCACTCTAGCTTAGTTCTCGCCTCTTAGAGAAAAGTTGTTCTCAGCTCTCTCTGGCAGTTATACAAGTTAACCACATGGAGACCTGGGTTGTACCAACCAGTGCTTGCTGTCTCTCATTTAGCTATGCATGCTGCAATCTGCAGTGGAAATTGGGCTGCCCAAACTCAAGCTGCCAAAACTCCATGGCAAATTAGACCATGTCTCGTTAATCAGGAAGTAAGCAACAGTAGCACATTGTGGCTTACCAGAGAGGGATGGCTTAGCGTGACAGTCATGAGCCTGTAATAGTAGTACATGGATATTTTACATAGTCTCCGGTCTACAATCCCAGCCATCAAATACCCGAGTAATTTAATTTAAGACAGAATCAATCACCTGTTAACTGCCTTTGTTCTAATACTTTGTGGCATAGCAGCCGTGATTCATCTTAACTCTAATCTGGCATGTTCGGTCTCTGACTATAGCATCATAACGAAGATGTACAGTACATCATATGGACATTTCATAGCGTGCCAGATAGGGTATGAACCCTGTAAAATCTCAGTACGATTGTTTTGTCCCGTAGTGCTGCCTTTACAACTTCAGGAGAAGGTTAAAATGCTTCCGCTGTGGAGCAGATAAATTTGGTAAGTCACTTTCAGCTTTTTGAGCACGTTTTGTTACGTGGAATATTTCCTGTTGCAGTTGGAAACTAAATGGGATCACAGGTCCTAGGCTGGCTCATTGAGTCTGTTTTAACTTTGAGTGAGAGATCCATGCTGTATGATTAACAGCAATTTATTCCTCTTTCCTGTGAAGATTCAGAACAGGAGGTACCACCCGGATCAGCAGAAGCTGTTCAGTCTGTGGATTACTACTGTGATAGTAAGTTAGTCTCTCTGCTTTTTGTTTGATTTCATGTGTTAGACAGAATGATCTAGCTGAAAATCCTCTCTAGTGTCTGTGTCGTACTATGTATTTGGGACCCACTTCCTGTTCCCTTTTCAGTGCAGGTTGTTCAGTGTAGCATGCTCCATGACGCATGTTCATTAGGTATGACTTATAGGAGAAATTCAATGATGTGTGTAGGCAGGTTCTATCTTCATGTAGAATAAAACTTTGGGGGGGGAAATTACCCTCCTTCTCTTTCCAGATAAGCGAGATTTCTCTTAAATTTTCTTTAAAAATAGACATTTCTTTTTGCTATTTAAGGTCTAATGCTGAGGGACCTTCCAACAAGCATTGGTTTCATAATAACTAAAAGTACTGTGAGGAGCATTTATGAATATAACTGTTGTAACACTTTGTCTCTTTCTTCCTCAGCCATCATTCTACGAAACATAGCTCCCCACACAGTAGTGGATTCCATCATGACCGCACTGTCTCCATATGCTTCGCTGGCAGTCAATAACATTCGCCTTATCAAAGACAAGCAGACCCAGCAGAATCGGGGCTTTGCATTTGTGCAGCTGTCTTCTGCAATGGTGAGAGTTTAATGCACTTTGATTTAAAAATATGAAAGAACCTTGTGAGAAGTGCATTGCCAACATGGGCTAGTGGCTGAAGCGAGGAATTAGGACCTTGGTTGCTATTTCCTGGTCTGCCCTGGTTCACTGTAACAGCGAGTGTATCACTTAACCGTTCGCCTATTTCTTCATTATCCTCATGGTGGTGAAAAAGCACCTAGAGATCCTTAAATGAAACATGCATAAAGGGGGAAGAAAGCTTTTTGGTATTAGAGGGTAGGATCTGTGCTCTAGTTTCTGTAGACTAGGTTTGAATCCTGATCATGGCTACTGAAAACAGGTAGTTTAGTCTCAGATAAGTTCCCTGTGGACCTCCATTCACAGACCATTTTGGCCAATTGAGAATTGAAGAGCCAGAGGTTTTACAGATCAGGAGGAAGGTACATTGACAAAGCTGCATCTGGGAGTCTTTCAGAGCTTGTCCACAGACCATGGTTTTGATCAGTGCTGTCGTCTCTCAAGAGCACGAAATCTACCCTTGTAGTATGAAGGGAGTGGGGAAATGTTTGTATTCTTAGCCACTTTGCGAATAGCATGTGCAATTGCATGTAATTTATCCATCTTTTCCTTAGGGGTTGGCACTTTTGATACTTACTTGGGATGAACACTACTGAATCTTCATTTCAACAATACCTTGCTTTTTCAGTTGGTAGCTTGTACTATACTCACAGGTATTTTCTCTTTTTAGGATGCATCTCAATTGTTGCAGATTTTACAGAGTCTTCAGCCACCATTGAAAATTGATGGCAAAACAATTGGTGTTGATTTTGCAAAGAGTGCCAGAAAGTGAGTTATAAGCGCTTGACTTTTCCTAACTATTATGGCCTTGTCTACACCACAAAGTTTTGTCGGCAAAAGTTATGCCGCTTTAATTAAAGCGTGTTAATTAAAAATGCTGTTGTATGTCCACACTAGCTCCTTGTGTTGGCAGAGTGCATCCACACAAACAACTCTTACATTGACACAGAGAGCAGTGCACTGTGGGTAGTTATCCCACTGTACAACTGGCTGCAGGGTGCTTTGGGAAGGATATGCAGTACCTCATGGTGTAGGTACAGCATCACATGATACAGGTTTCTCAATCCCATCGTTCCAGGGGCATCCTAGTAGATTGTCAGCCACTTTTTTAACTGAAGGGGGGGCAGGCACAGCAGTCTCTCCCAAAGCAGCCCTCTGCCTGTGGTTCTATAATTCCCTCCAAATCCTCCTCAGCGGGCAGCCCTCTGCCTGCCTGTCTATGGTTCTAGAATTCCCTCCAAATTCTCCCACAGCCTCCTCAGCTGCCGGGAGCGGCATCCTGAGCAGCTCTGTGAGCTCTCCCTGCTGAGGAATGTCAAAGGAGCACAGCAGTTCCTCTCCGAGCCGCCCCCCCCCCCCCCCATGTACTCCGTGTTCCTAGTGTGGGGCAGAACAGGAGCATTCCAGGTTAGCATTCTCAGCTGTCAGATACTTCCGGAGCTTTGAAAGGGGAGGGTCGTATGCATGTGGGGCAGCAACGATCAAAACAGTGAGCAGAGCAGTCTCAGCAGGCATTATGGGATACTGATGGAAGCCAGTTATGTCATCAAAACAAACAGCAGTCTCTACACTGATGCTTTGTCACCTTAACTTTGCCACAAAAAGCTTTATGGCTCTCGTTGAGGTGGTTTTATTTTGTCGGCAGAACAGCAGAGTTTTGCTGCCAAGAGTAGCTTTGTAGTGTGTACACCTCCCCTGTTTTATAGACGAGGCCTCAGACTTGCAGGTGTCGTCATGGCCTCTGCTGTTAGTACAACATTCTCTTTGGGGAAATGTCTCTGCTTGCCTAACCAGTGTCTGCTGTTGCTTGTCCATCATCATTTCACATGAAGCGAAAATATGATAATCAACTCTGGCTGCGAATTCCTCATCTGCATTTTCAAGCCCCTGTCATTGCCACTGATTTTTTAAGAGATGCAGAATTATTTCCCCAAAATAATTTCTGTTCAGTTTTTCTGGATTGCACAGTAGTGAGCCTCAGAGTAACTATCCCATTTCCCCAAACTTGCCAGGCTGCACTTTAGCTGGCTGGGACATCTGAGAGGGTGTTTGTAGGTATCTTTAGAGATCCACATGTAGCATTGTCAGTGAATCCCCTTGGAACTATAGAATACAGGGAGATTTCCTGCGTGGAGGTTGCCTGAGAGAAAGCATCGCTTGTTTGTTCATGTGACTTGATCTTCCTGGTTTCAGAGATTTGCTTCTCCCAGATGGTAACCGGGTCAGCGCCTTCTCTGTGGCAAGCACAGCCATCGCTGCAGCTCAGTGGTCATCCACCCAGGTAGGATTTGGGGAAGAGGCTTCCATACACTAGCGCATTACTTTTGCTGAAATGAAACTAGAGAATGCTTAGTCCCACTAGTGACAATTTAATATTCCTGACTTGGGTAAATGGAGATACAGAGCAGAGTACTAAGGAAGAGAATGGTCATAACAGCTAGCAAGCTTGTTGGCTTGGATACAGTATTAGCACATTTTAGAAACAGTGAAATACAGGAACTGACTTGTCTCTGATAAAACTCTCTGCTGGAATTTGCAGCCTCATAGCGGAGAAGGAGGCACCATTGACTACAGCTACCTCCAGCCAGGGCAAGATGGTTATACCCAGTATGCGCAGGTGGGTAGTGTTGGTTAATGCTGTTAGCAGTGTTTACTCGTCTGAGCAAAAGTCTGCTCAGCCGGATGCTTACTTTGTGCTTCCCTTCACAGTACTCGCAAGACTACCAGCAGTACTACCAGAGTCAAGCTGGAGCGTTGGACACAGAAGCATCTATTATATCAGGTAATATCTTCTTTGTTTCTGAGTAGCTCTTTTTCTGGGATGCGAGTTGTGTAGCAGTATTAATCTGTGCAGAATCAAGTGAATCCCGTTTAGCATCAGCAGTTCTAGCTGATTCTGCCATTTGAAATAAAGGAGTCTCTGATCTCCAGCAAACCAGGGTGGCCAAGGTCTGCTCAAGATGGAGCATGTAGGGACCTCTAGTCTCTTCTGGTTTCAACTCATTTAAAATGGAAGGCAGCTATGGACTCCCCTTTAGAACTCAGATCTGCATTTGTCTCAAAGCCACACCTAAGCTGCTCCAGCCTAATCTTTGATGCTGGCAGCTGTTGTTTATCGGGAATTACTGTTGGATGTAGTCAAGGTGGCTGCCTTCTAGCATAGTAAATGTTTGACATTCATGCCAAGAAAGATCCTGCATGTATTGACCATGCTGTATTAACTCTTCCATTCCCAGAGAGTCTGTTCATATCTCCTTCTGTAAAAAAAAAAGTGTTTCCCAGTCTATGTAGATTGAATTACCGTATATACTCGTTCATAAGCCGAATGTATGTAGTAAAAAAGGGAAACACCAGAGAAGGGGATCGGCTTATGAGCGGGTATAGAGAGGGAGAGGTGGGACACAGCCCCTCCCCCCAACAGAGGGAGCAAGGAGAGGCAGCACAGCCAGAAGGGAAGAGGCGGGGCCAGAGTCTCTCTGCTTCTGGTCAGGCTGCTCTCCATCCAAAGCAGCTGCAGCTCTGGGGCTGCCCCGTCGCTCGGCTCGGCCCGGCCTGCCGGAGCACGCTATGGCCAGGCCAGAGACATCCTCCCCAGATAAAGTGGGAAGTGATGGGATGGGGAGAGTGTGGGGGTCCCGGGCTAGGAGTGGGGTCATGTGGGGGGTGGTCACAGGGGTTAGTCCCCTGACTCCTAGCTTCTCCCCCCCCCAAAAAAAAATTTCCCCACCAGTTGTTGTCCTGGCCTGTCAGGATAAGCAGGTAGCGCACCGAGACACTTTGTTTACTTAGATTTACCTCAGTGCCTGTGGATGCTCGAGGTAAACAAACCATCTCGGCCCACCAGCAGCTTATCCTGGGAGCCAAAGTTTGCTGACTCCTGAATTGTAGGGTCAGCTTATGAACGGGTTATAAAAATTCTCCATTTTTACTTATCCATGTTGGGGGGGTTGGCTTATAAACGAACTAGCTTATGATCGAGTATATACCCATTTAGCTGTGACAATTCTCTGAATGCTCTTGCCCAAGAGGACTATTGGAGGTGATAATGGGAGCTGATACACACTTCAGTAAGTGGAATTACAGTAACTCCTCACTTAACGATGTAGTTGTTACTGAAAAATGCGACTTTAAGCTAATCCAATTTCCCCATAAGAATTAATGTAAATGGGGGGTGGGGGGCGTTAGGTTCCAGGGAAATTTTTTTCACCAAACTATATATTATATAGATATACACACAGTATACTGTGGGAGAAAAGAGTCCTCACTCTGAGGTTGGTTGCAACATGTAAGAGGCAGTTTATTCTCAAGCCATATTGCAAGGGGAAGAGTGAACAATGGCAGGTCTCCCAAAAGATAAATAATGAGGGCAAGCATTTATACCTTTTGTTACATACAGTAATGATCAACAGCTGCATTTTGTTTAAACATATTCCTTCCTGATATCTTTCTTTTCTCAACAATTTTCTGCTACAGTCTGTGTTCTATTCTTATCTAACACAAGGTCAAAAAACAGCATCTCTTACAGTTCGTTTCCACTCACCCAGGCCCTGCTTGGAAGTCTCGCGTTATTATTAGCTGTTAGAGTTAGCCTGACTCTTGCTCTTTCTGGAAAACTAAGATGTCTGCTCTTTTCCGAACTTCCACAATACGTTATAAACAAACAATTTAATACTGTTCACAGCTCTGATTATTGAGAAGCTTGGTTGAGGTGGTGAAGTTAGAGGGTGGAAGAGGGAGGGATATTTCCCAGGGAATGCCTTGCTGCTAAATGATGAACTAACACTCGGCTGACCCCTCAAGGGTTAACACGTTGTTAATGTAGCCTCTCCCACAAGGCAGCACGAACACAGGGGGGAGGGGGAACAGCATAGCAGACAGAGACAGACACACACACCTTGTGTGTGGGGGAGAGAGATGCACACTGCGCCTTTAAGTAAGCTGACCCACTCTTTTTAAGTGCATTGTCTTTTTAAGTGGATCAGGAAGTTGAGACAGCAGTTGCTGCCCCAGGCGCTCTCTGTCTCTCCATCAGTGTCCCCTCCCTGCTCTATATGGAGAAGGGGTAAGCGGGATGCAGGGGGAGGGGGACACCCTGACATTAACACACCCCCCCCCCCCCTTCTCTCCCTGCATAGCAAGCAGGAGTCTCTGGGAGCAGCTCCAAGGCAGAGGGCAGGAGCAGCACATGGTAGTGGGGGGAGGGACAGCTGAACTGCCCGGCAATTGATAGCCTGTTGGCGGCTGTAGCACAGGGAGCTTAGGGGAGCCGATGGGGGGCTGCCGGTCCACCTTGGTTACAAGTCCCCACCAGCTAGCTGCAACAGGCTGCTCTTCCTGAAAGCAGTGGCCAAAGCAGGCGGCTGTCAAGCGACGTTAAAAGGGAGCATTGCACAACTTTAAATGAGCATGTTCCCTAATTGATCAGCAACGAAACAATGTTAACCGGGACGACTTTAAGTGAGGAGTTACTGTACTCTAATTCTGGCATGAGGTACTGTCCTAAGAGTTCCAGGAAATAAGTTCACTGACCCACTGACAAACTGTACATTGGCAGGTGCTCCAGTTACCACCACAACAGCAGCTGTCGTATCCCAGAGTCCTCAGCTATATAATCAACAGCCCAACTCACCTGACTCTCCGGTAAATATAGAACTTTGTAGAGCTCTTGCAACTGACTTTTTGTGCAGGCAGGGTTGGAATCGATCATGGGGCATTCCTGTGCTGCTTTGCAATTGAGCGCGTAGCAAAATTGGGGAGTCATTTCTTACTAAACTTTAATCTCTTCGTAGACTGAAATTAGTCTATCTGGGAAATTTTAGTTAGAATGGCAGAAAGCTGCTCTTTTGTTTCTACACTGACTTTGATTCCTCTCTTTGAGAGAAGGAATATAGAGCACATGGGTCAAGAACAGCTGGGGTGCATAGTAATATGTTGCTGATGGCTTGATTTCCATGGACCCTGCAAGGACATTCTTAATGACGTTTCAATTCTTTCCAGACTCAAACAGCACAGCCTAGCACCAGCACCCAGGCACAGTCAGCTTCTCCAACTGGTGTGGTCCCTGGCACCAAATATGGTAAGCAAAGCTGAGTCATTCTTGTTGGCAGAAGCACATCTGTGATTGGGTGGCAGTAGATAAACAACTTCCCATGTTGTTGGCAATGAAGGCATCCCTGGGGGGAATGCAGTGTGTGTTGATAAGATGGCAGTGTTTTATAGCCTTTTCTATCCTCGTAATTGCTATAATCACAGTTGTCTTAACTGAAACTAAAAGGTGCCTGTTTCAATTCAACTGAAACGATCATGTGCCACATCTTGATTTTACAGCTGTCCCTGACACCTCTACCTACCAATACGATGAGTCTTCAGGATATTATTATGATCCTATAACAGGGCTCTATTATGATCCTAACTCCCAGGTAAATGCAAGTTCTTCCCATCAATCATAATTTTTGAGGTCCATTAGTTTCATGCCTCATCAACTGTGAAGGAAACTGACATTCCTGGGAGGGGGGTAAAATAGTGAATGCAGCACACTCCCTCAACAGTGATTCAGGGCTGTAGCAGTTTTTCACATTGCTTTTTTCCCCCTGAACAACTCATATTAGCATAGGCCTCTAACTATAGATCCTATTGGTGTGACTTCTAGCTCTGCAGAATCTGGTTAAACTTGTCTAGCTCTGGGCTTTAGTGGAGTGTCCCAAAAGACATTCTGAAGTAGAGGAAAAGGTTCTTCCTGTAATGCTACCTAGTTAGAATGCATGTGCTTGCAAGCAGAGGATTTAACAGGCTGACACCTGGTTGACCACTTTGTGGAGATTTGAGATACTGTGGAAAACTCTGACTCAAATCTAACAATCCTCTTGGTTGGGGAGTAGCAGTTGTTCGTTGTACACTTAGCTCATCTCAGATGGATAACTGTCTGATTTTTCACTTCTCTCCCAGTATTACTACAATGCCCTAACCCAGCAGTATCTTTACTGGGATGGTGAGAAAGAGACCTACATGCCTGCTGCAGAGGGTATAACATACCAGCAAACTAGTGCACCTTCCAGCAAAGAAGGGAAGGAGAAGAAAGAGAAACCCAAGAGTAAAACCGCTCAGCAGGTGAGGAGATATCAGATCACAGCTGGGATGGGAAATCTGAGAGCTTTTCTGGAACTGGCACATGTAACCTGTTAAACTCTGGGTTCTTTTGGAAGCGGGGGACATCTGGGTTGAGCCGTTTGGATGGGTAGCTGCACCTCAGAGTAGGTATAATAGAGAACTGGGGAGGAGTTGGAAAGTTTTGTGAAAACCAAGGGGTTATGGCATAACAGGAGCACCGTAGTCTTTTTGACTAGCAGCATGCAGGGGCTGGTGTCTGGGCTAAGGGGGTAATTGTAAGCTGTTGCTTTCACTGTAGCTTGAGTCAAAGCTGGTTACTGGATTCCTTAAAGGCTTTCAAGTGGCAAAGGGTAAATTGTAATTCTGGCATGCTGTGGACAGTGAAAATTCCCTTTTAAAGGAAAGCACTGTAAGAGCGGAGTTAGCCTGTGTGTCAACTCCTACAGGGAGTAGAGATCCTGGAATGACTAGATCCAAAATCCCAGGAATCGTTGTGCAAAGTGAGTTGTCTGACCCAGTCCTTGTTGTCTGTTTCAGATTGCTAAAGACATGGAACGCTGGGCAAAGAGTTTGAACAAACAGAAAGAGAACTTTAAGAATAGCTTCCAGCCACTCTGCTCCAGGGAAGAAGAGAGGAGGGAATCAGCAGCAGCAGATGCTGGCTTTGCCCTTTTCGAGAAAAAGGTAGTCATGTGGAGGAAAGTGGTTACAGACCAGGGCAGGCTGTGCAGAGCCCAGAGCTCATGTCTTTCTTTTTCCTAGGGCACTTTGTCTGAGAGACAGCAGGTCATGCCAGAGGTGGTAAAGAATGGAGAGGAGGAGAATCCACTCAAAGTAAGTGTGCACACATTCAATTCATTACCATACTGCTGCAGCTTTGGATAATGCTGCTGGGAGCATGAGTGTCAGCAGATACTGTTCTGCTTTGAAGTCATCCTGGGATCTTTTGTGCAAGGGTTGGAGGCATAGGTGGTGGAGTGGGCTATTGCCCCTTGATGGAATGTAGTGAGAGGGTCCCAGTCTCATCCATTCCGCAAGAGAAATAAAAGGCTCAGGTAATGGTCCTAACCGTACAGACACTTTAGTCCAGGGGTTCTCAAACTGGGGTGTGTGACCCATCGGGGGGTCATAAGGTTATTACATGGGGGGGGTCACGAGGTGTCAGCCTCTACCCTAAACCCCGCTTTGCCTCCAGCATTTATAATAGTGTTAAATACAAAAAAAGTGTTTTTAATTTATAAGAGGGGGGTCACACTCATAGGTTTGCTGTGTGAAAGGGGTCACCAATACAAAAGTTTGAGAAACACTGCTTCAGTCAGTGTTGTAGCAGACCAGCCAGAAGAAATAATTAGTTCTTCCAGGGCTGCTGCATTCCCACTTTTAGGATATGGTTAGAGCCCTGTGCGGTTACAAATTTTGTATCCGCATCCAATCCACACACATTGTCTGTGGATTTGCAGGGCTCTAGATATAGTGTCCCTGATGTTTAAACTGTGGAAATACCTTGAAGAGTTGTGCCCATTGGGGAGAGCATGAGATCTTGCATGATGATGAAGTTGTTTCCCTATTCTTTAAGGAAGTTTGCGGGTGAGGAGGTGCACTTTCTTTAGTTGTTGCCCATTTCTGTGATACCCACTCTTTAAACTGAGGATCCTGCCATCTGCTGCAGTTGCCTTCCTGTACAATGTTCCCTTTGCTAATGGTGGCCCTGCTTGCCTTCCAGCGTGGCCTGGTGGCTGCCTACAGTGGAGATAGTGATAATGAAGAGGACCTGCTGGAAAGAATCGAGAATGAGGAAGAGAAGCTGACTGACTGGAAGAAGCTGGCCTGTCTGCTGTGTAGGAGGCAGTTTCCAAACAAAGATGCCTTGGTCCGACACCAGCAGCTCTCTGACCTGCACAAGGTAACTATTTGTGGGAGCAGCTTCCATTTCTGAGGTGGGCTTGGTTGCAATGTTTTACAGTGGAGTTCAAAGTACTGTGGCACTGCTTGTACCAGAAAGCACCAACGGTTGTTGGTCAGGTATACTACCAAGGTGTTACTGTTCTAAAACAGCAACCATGTGGCCTCCTTGAGCATCCTACTAACATGATATACTATGAAACCTTCCTTTGGCACAGCAAAACATGGATATCTACAGGAGATCTAGGCTGTCAGAGCAGGAACTTGAAGCATTGGAGCTGCGCGAGAGAGAGGTCAGTGGCCATGTGGCAAGACTGGGGATCCAGAGATGAACATGGATTGGTGATGGATGGGGTGTTTCTTTCCAGTACCATGTCACCAGCTGGGGATAACCAGGAGCTAAAATATCCTAAGCATCTGCCTTGTGACAAGCTTTGGGGGCTTTCCCAATGAATAAGACCTGAATACTCAGGTGCTCATAAGTCCTGTTTATCGGGGAAAGGAGGGTGGCTTTTTCACTCTTTGCTATACAGCAGTATTTTTATGACTGGGCTCCCATCCTGGAGGTTGTGACCCTAATGTGGGCTGGAAAGTGGGGGTGGGGGATCTTAGCAACTGCTGTGATTTGTTTATTTTGCCAGGACTCAGGAGGGGAGTAGCTGTGTCCTCATTGCCCTGCTAGTCTTGCCCCAATGTAATTACTCCCCATGCCCCATCATGTTCTGCTCCAGGAATGCACAGCTTAGACATCATCAGGAGCCAGTTTCCTTGATCCTGCTTGTCCTGCTCCTCACCATGATTAAGTGTCTCATCCAGGGCATAGTTTAAGCACTAGGGAGGGGAGAAGAGGAAGCCCTTCGACCAACCCAACCCTCAGTTTTAGTGGAGTGACTATAAACTGTATTTTGGTCATGATTCAAAATGAGAGCTGGTTTGGGTGTCGCAGGTGGAGTATGTGAGAGAACCTCTGTGCTAATGCAAAGTCATCAAACCTTTCAGTTGGCAAAACTACCCAGTTGAATAGACTGGGTATTTATGTGCAGAAAAAAAGTGTTTCCTGTTAATATTCAGCCTGCTCCAAAAGCAGCATCTCTAATGCTTGGACTTGGTATTGTAGACTGTGAAAGATGAGGGTGGCTTAAACAATTCACCCAGAACTTGGTGCACCTGTGCAAACCACCAGTGACTTGTATTCTGAGCACCTAGCTCTTGTTGTCTCAAAGTGCCAAGAGGGAATTCTTTGACTTTGGGTGTCTGGTGGAGTTGGCATCCCGCTTACAGCCATTTGCACTCAGTCCTACAGAATATATCTCATTGCAGATGAAATACAGAGACAGAGCTGCTGAACGGCGGGAGAAGTACGGCATCCCAGAACCCCCTGAGCCGAAGCGCAAGAAGGTGTTTGATGCTGGCACAGTGTATGTATTTGCCAGGCACTGTAGTGGCTTTCTAGAGTACATAACAAGCTTTCCTTAATCAAACGGTTTGTTCTCTTGTGTAGGAATTATGAGCAACCCACTAAAGATGGCATTGACCATAGTAATATTGGCAACAAAATGCTCCAGGCCATGGGCTGGAGGGAAGGTTCAGGACTCGGAAGGAAATGTCAGGGTATCACAGCTCCCATTGAGGTAAGCACGGTGTAGGAGGAGAGATGGCACTGGCTGTATGATCTGTTGTTGGCTTTGCCAATTACGGTGGAGGCTGTCCCCAGCAATTAGATGCTCTGAAGAAGTACTTTCCTGACTGTTGGAGCAGAATATGCTGCAACTAAGGTCTGAGCTGGCATGAGCCCCCAGCTGTGACACCCTTCCCCAGTCATCAAGTATCTGCACCATTGTGGGAGTAGGGCTCCTGAAACTCTCCCGCAGCGGTGTGCACAGGATGGCATACATGTAGTTTTGAAAAGCTGTCTTAACAGGAAGGTAAACTTGTGCACGTATGTAGTGCAGCAGTCAGTGTTGGGGTCATGGGTTAAGTTAAGGGCTAGAACTTCACCATATTTACTATAATTCAAAATCTAGTTTTCTCTGACTTTAAGATGACATAGAAGTGAGCAAGGCTAGAGGTGCTTATCCTATTCTACTGCTCCAAGGTGGTCACTTCCATGCACATGTTCTAACATCCATTCTGACTCTTAGCTGGGCTGCGTCTGCCATGGTTTCTGTTTTGAATAGCAGCTTAGCTAACATGTGAGGCACATTCCCTCATCCTATTACGGCATGTTTCCTGGCAGTAGGTCAGTTGTGTGTACAGGTGAGACGTAAGCATGTAGCTCTTGCTGTATCTGTGGACTGGGGGCCTCTCCCAGAGACAGGCCTCCTAGTAATAAATCTACTTGAGGGACTTCAATAGTTGTTTAAAGGAGTGCAACAAATCTCTCATCTCCTCTCTCTCATAACATCTGCTAGGTGGCAGTTGACCTGATAAGAATTGTACTTATTTCCCACTGTAGCAGATTCTCTCAGGCAGCCAGCATAGGGATTTCAATAGTGGGTGCGGTGCGCAGGATATTGTATGCCCAATGCTAAAGTGCCTGTTTCCTTCCAGGCTCAAGTGCGCATGCGAGGAGCTGGCTTGGGAGCCAAGGGGAGTTCTTATGGAGTCTCCACGGCCGACTCATACAAGGATGCAGTGCGGAAAGCCATGTTTGCTCGCTTCACTGAGATGGAATGATGAGTTCCACACCCTCGAGGCTTACAAGCCAGCAAAGCACTTGACTTGTCTGTTACCTGGAACTGACTGTTAAACCCTGTGACCTTGGTGGCAGTGCCATGTTCTGAGTATGGGTTAGGATTAACCATTTCATTCCCTTGGACTGTCTTCCCTTCCAGCATGTAACTTCCATGATGGATTGTCTGAATTGCTATACCTTCATGCTGGAAAACTTGTGGCCAGACCAAAGGGGATGCTGCATCTTTATACATTCTTGTATATAGTGTAACATAATGTACTTTGATTTCGGAGTGCGTAGTGTCCATGTCACTCCAGGCCTCTGGAGCAGGTGAGAGATGTGTTAGCTGTGGTTTGACACTCTCTCCTCTCCTTTGTTGTATTGTCTCGTTTTGTTGGCACAACTTTCCTGTACATTTTGTATGATATACCTTTGTATAGATTTTTTTGAAGATTTTGATTCTAGTTGCCGGTTTTGGCTCCTTTCCAGAAGAAAAACACTCAAAACTGACCCTGTCATTGGTTCTCAGTGGTCGCTCTTATGGTTGAGATACACTCTGCAGGGTTGCAACTTCAAGGGTCAGATGAACTCTTGCTGGGGCAGTTGCTGTGCCCATGGCGTTGCCTGCTGGTACAGTTGGTTACTTTAGTAGGATTACATGTGCTATTCCTGTCACCCCTCTTATAAACCAGGCATCAGCCCTTGCCTGAAACAATGGGTACTTCAGCTAGTGAGGTAGTATGCTGTGAATCAGCCCTTCTGCTTGAACTGTTTAATATGTAAGTATTACCTGGTGGGGGAGGAGAGAGAGAAGCTAACCTGAGCCAGGGCTATGGCTGTGTTTTGTCAGTTTCAAGTAGGTGAGGTCTGTTTCATACACTCACTGCACTAGCCTGGAATTACCATTCTTGTAGCCTCTGTGTAACTGTCCAAAGCAGCCTGCTGTGTTAGTGCACCTTCTGGCTGTTTGGAATTGTGACTAGGAGCAATTTGCGAGTCCCCTTCCTCTGGCATGTCTTTATATATTTATATTGTAAATGTAACTTAAGTGCCATAGCTGGGAACCAAGCCCCACCCCTGACTTACAGTTATACCCAAAAAAAAACCCCTCCCCAGTACGTGCAGCTATGCTCCCGCACAGCCCTATGCTGGGGAGGTGGGTTGGGTCAGATAACACCACCTTTACTGCCAGCAACTAGACTTGGTGGCTAGTTGGGACAGCTAAGGAATGTAGGAGAGAAATAGCATCTGCCTAGACAGCTGTTCTGCCCTAAGCATCCCCTGTGTCTGCTGTTCTGGTTCCCTGAGCCTGGTCTCTACTACTGCCCAATCACAGGCACTGGGGCAGAGGTTTATCTTCCCACAACACTTGGTTCCCTTTCCCCTCCTCAGTGCTTGCTTCCTCTGAAAAGGGGCATCAGACCAAACCCTTCTCTTCATGAATCGGGGAGGCCAAGTTCTTAGCACTGGCCTCCTTATCTTGGCCCTAAGCTTGCCTTGTTTTCTGCAGATCTTACTCCTCACTGAAGCAAGTAAAAGCAGAATCTCAGGAGGAGGGAGCTCCAATTCACCCTCACAGGCTCAAATCATACTCTGTAGCCTGTGCTGGACACTCACCATCCAGCTGTACTAATGAAGCTACAGCGGGTGGGTGCACGTTTCTGGGCCTCTGGCATGCTGCACTCTGCCTTAAAGGAATGGATGGCTCCTGACATAGGATGGGGGAACTAGCCACCCTCCACTTGGGGCAGGCCCCTTCCATGCTTTCAGGCTGCTTGGGATGGGCATTGCATTTATGGAGCCCCTGGGTTTCAGCAAGCTTCAGTGTCTTCTGAGGAGATGCTCTCCACACCCAGATGTTACTGCTCCAGCTCATCTTCCACAAGCCCATGGGCAGAGATTCCAGCCCCCCTGCTTCCAGTGAATCCAGTCTTTAAAAAGGGCTATACCAGTAAGTTTGCCTCTTCTCTTCCCAGATCTGTCACAGCCCTGGGGTTCTGTTTTGGGGATGACTGGCAGCGTTGGCAACTTATGCTCTGGAATTACATCTGCTTGTGAAAAACAACTGCTAATGCAGCACCATGTACATGGGTCTGCAGATAGAGATATCATTCAAGGCTGCGAGCTTGACCACCTGCTTGTCCCTGCTGTGTGTTGACTCTGAAACATAATGTTGGCTGTCAATGTCGTTAACTATTTCAGTGCTGGCAACAAAGGAGGGGGTTTGTGTATTCTGAAGGCACACAATCTGTTGTAAGTGGACTCGCCTGCTCATCTGGGTTGGTGGAGCTTGTCTTGGGGGCGGAGCTTGAGGCTTGTCCTATTTCCCCACTTGTGTGATAGACATGCACTTGTCAGCTTCAATCATTTCTCATACTGCCATCTTTGCAGCTTCTGCCCCTCTACCCCACTTTCAAAATTGTAGCAAACTTTTTCTCAAATGTTTGTAATAAATTGGGGGACTTTCAAGAGCGGGAGGGGACGGGAGTAGGGATTCCACAACCACGAGGGTGTTATTTTGGTCCTAAAGAAGTGGCTGCATCTTTGTGTTGGATTCTTTCTATGGCCCCCACCAGCCTGGGCTGGGAAGTGAAACCCCTCTTCCCCTTTGACCTTTCCTAGCACCACTTGCTGGAAAAAATTTTCATACAGCTTTCAAGTCAGCCCGTGGAGCCAACAGGTAAATCTATCCAGTGCAGGGTGTGTGTGTGTATCTACCTGTGCATTTGTGTCCTTTGCAGAATTATTACAGAACTTGAAAAAGGCCCAGAGCTCTCCCTTGTGTCTCTGCTCCTTCCCCACAGGCCCACTCCTGTGGGCTGGGGATTGAACAGTCACAATATGTGTTCTGCAAGTGCTGCAGGGCCATGTTCTCCCCTGCTCCTCTCCTGAGGCCTAGTCTGCACCGTTTTTGTGCTGATCTCTATGGTTGTTAGGAGTGTGATTTCCTCCCCCCC